TAAACGAACACTCACACAAACAACCTGGGTTTTATAATAAGTAAAACTCGATATGAGTTGTCCCCCTTTCATTCTGGCAATGCCTCTTGATCGTGTTTTCAAATTGATTTCATGCAAAAACAATTGTGTTTTTCCAATTTTTGGTGCTGTCAGAACCACCGCAAGGTAATTTTACGTAGTCCTGTGAAGTTTTGTTGAAATCAGTTGAAAAATGTAGGAAATCCAATCCAATATATAAATGTACAGACACACACACACACAACCTGGGTTTTATAATAAGTATGATTTTATTATGATTTATTTCATTATATAGCATTTATAATTATGATAATGGAAAATTACTAATATTGCTATATATGCTTCAAGATTTGGTTATAAATTACTAGAAAAGTAAGAAACCCATTATCAGAATGCCCTTTGAGCAGAAATATGGTGGAATATAAAAACAGAAAGTCATTTTCAATATCTAATTCTTCTTCCCTTCCAACAATGTCTGTAGCAACCTTAAGTGGAACTTGTAATTTCAAGAAAAGTGCAACAATTATACATCCAGAAGATGTCAAAGTATTCTAATTATTTGACTCTCATGGAATCTGCCGGTTTAGTTTGACCGACACAAGACCATATTCTACAGCACCTACCTGTCACATCACAATAATTTAAGTTACCTAATTCTAGATGCAGAGAATGCTATGTATTTCTAGATTTTTTTTTCAACTGAGAATAAAGGAATTATCAATATTTTACCAAGCTTAGTTCATTATAAACCTTAAGTTAGTTATGTGCCATGCGTGATACATGCTTAGGCGATCATGTATCTTTCGATACATGACAAGGCCAATTTTTTTTTCTTGCAGTAGGTTGCCATTTCTTTCTGCAGTAGACCAGCTGCCATCCAAGCCTGGTCTGCCCTGCTATTTACCCATAGCTTGGGGGGATAAGAAGAGGATTCATACATTTTCCAAGGGTATTAGCATTTAAGCAAATGTAATGGATCTGAATGGAATTCAAACTCAGCTCTCCAATTCCTCAATCCAAGCCACTATCCATTACTCCACCATGCTTCTGCACCTTAAAAGACAGATAAAAGAAAATTTGGGACAATCATTCAGGTTAAAAACTGTGTTGCAACAATCTATCCTTAAAGCTAGATACTCTTAGGTGCTTAATAAACCGGGGCCATATTTTCAGGAAATTTTCCTACCCCACCCAAGTTTATTGAGATTACTCCGTTTATTAATTCTTGAAGCATTAAATGGTTTTCTGCCGTCTCCCTTTTGTCAACACCACACCCTGTTTATTGCATATTGATAAAAATTATATCCTCCCCAAACAATTATGACCACCCTATTTATTAGGCACTTAATGTATGGACATCTTGAAAAATCCTGATAATGGTTACAAGTCAAGGCAAGCATTAACTCAATGTTTTCTCACTTTTCTCATAGAAGCTTCCCTTTTATCATTCTCTCTCTCTCTCACGCACACGATCATGAGACCCGTACTTCATTGGGGTTGTAAGGGCACCACATGTACCCCAGCTGCAATAGTGTTTCCTGGACAAGATAGCCTGACGAAGCCCGTCCCACTGCAGACCGTTTGGGCACTTTGATGTAGCGTAATGGTTAGCAAACTTGTTTTGCTAGATCATTTACAACTGAGTAGCGAGTTCGATCCTCACTGGGTGCCCCATACTTTCAGCCTTGTAATTGGTCTAGGAGAAGGTGCTTTTCTAAGATATGCTTAGAAGAGCACCTTCTCATAGACTAGTTGCCACCCAAAACTATAAGGTCCAGACTGTCAAGCAATTTACCCATAGTTTGTGGGGGAGGGGGAAGACATGGATTTATACCTTCCCCAAGGATAAAGTGAATGCACTGAATTCTACTGAAATTCAAACTCTGCTCCCAGATTCCTCAATACGCTACCCATTACTACACACACACACACACACACACACACACACACACAATTAAAGCTGAAATGTCTGCCAATACACTTACAAACTCAAATTAAAACATTTGAATTTACCCAATCATTCTGAATCGCATGTTGCGTGTGAGTATAATCTTTAAGAAGACCGAGTGTTGAATTATTTGTCCCAAAAACACTATTTAGGACTGCAGGTGAGTTAGGATAAAGACAAGGTTTCATGAAATGAAACAACAACATTGATATCTAATGTGAACGTGTAATAGACGACGAAAAAGAAAAAAATAAATTCAAGAAAATAAAATAACCATATCAAAAGATTTACAGAATTATTAATTCTTCTTGTGCTTTGTTTGCACAGCGATAAAAGAAGTTTAGAAAATATATTGCTTGTACATAGTTTTGATAAGGAACTTGAAGTGACATTTTTAGTATAAGCTAAGCATGGTTCAGTATTATTTTCAACAAAAAGAAAAGTTTTCCGTTAAGTTAGCAGCATTAGGATTCAAGGTTTATCATCAGTTTTTTTTGTTTTTTTTTTGTTTTTTTAAACGAAAACAAAAATTGAATTTCCTAAATCAAGGACACATGGCACAGTGGATAAAAGTGTTAGTTCGATCCAGCGACAGGGCCCAAAGACTGAGTTCAATACCCAGTTAATTACAGTGGAGAACTTTCAGAGGGAACTTAACAGGAGATAACTGATAACTGACATTCATTAAACGTGGAACTAGAACAGTCTACTCCGGTGAGCAAAATAAAGGGTTCAGTTCAACATTCCAACAACCTGAAGGAGACCGAAGCGTACAACGGCCGAAACGTTGTAATAAATATGACAACAAAGATGAGGACAATAGTCCGAATAATGTAAATAATGAATTTCCTAAATTTATTTTCGGAAAATACTAACCTCCTAGCTTTAATTTTCGAACTAGTTTTCTTTATTTTGATTGTACAGTTTTTTTCGTTTTTTTTTCAAAAATCTGTTTGAATTTATCTTCAGATTGGAATCGCTTTTCCTCTTGATATATTTCCTACGCAATAGCTTTCGTAAAATTCTTAGGTCGTTGCAAACCATTAGATTAGTTGACTCATACAATCTTACTAGGAAGTTTGTGTGAAAATTATAGTAAAGTAATTAAGAGAAAGGGTGTAGCTGTCGAGATAGACGAAAGATAATTATGCAAAAGGAAATAAGAGATAAGCATTTTTCCGTTAAAAAAAAAAAAAAAAAAAAGAGTGACACGAAAAACTACCGGAATTTAATAAGCAGACGATAAATGGCCGCTATCTTGAATGGAATCCAATTGCTTTTAACTGCTACTGTGCAGTGTTTACGGTTAACGGAACACTAGCTTAAAAACTATATATATATATATATATATATATATATATATTATATATTGCTCATTGATGGATTGCTGAAAAAACTTAACTCGAGCAAGAAGCCTTTAAAAAGAATGGAGGGACAGTATTTAGTCACCCCCCCACACACACACACGAGGGCATCATGTGGCACAAGGCCGGTTTAATGTGGGATCTTGGAGCCCGTGGGCTCGGCCAAAAATATGCCCTTTGAACCTGTATAAACGGGTTCGGGGTCGGTTTACCTCCCCGAAAGAGACTCCCGCCCTTCGGCGTAGCCTCATTCGGGTTCCTCCCCGCCTGAAGGCAGAGAGTACAGACGGTCGCCTGACTTCAGACGGAACTCTGGAGATACACGCATGCGTAGAAGTTGGTTCTGCTTTTATACAGATGCGGGTGGACTTCATGAACAACAAAGTTAAAATTTCGAAAGTTAATAAAGATCCATTAAAATAGAGTTACAATACAAATGTTTTGGAGATCACATTATTTTCTTTGTAGAAATCATTGAATTAATGAAAAATTACAGTATTTCTTTTAATAATTCTCAGTTTTCCTTTTGAATAAAAATCGGACTTTGAAATCTGTTGTGCCACCATCTGTTGCCAGTAACAACAAATTAGAAATCATTGAATAATTGCATTTTATGTTTATGTTAACCAAGGAAAGGAAAAACATTTAAAATGTTCAGTTAAGTAAACGTAAATAAAATTGTAAAAAGTATTTTTCTGTCTGAATTTCTCGAATGATAAATTATAGATAATAGAAATATATGAAGTTCTATTTATATTCGGACTATTGTCTTAATCTTTGTTATGACAATATTTCGGCCGTTATGCTCTCCAGATTTCCTCGGGTGCGTATCGATCTGGGTAACCTACAGAAAATTCTGAACTAAACCCTTTATTTAATGTATGATGGGTAGACTATTTAATCTAAATATGAACAAAGAGACAGTTCAGACTTCCCTGTAGGTTACCCAGATTGATATGCACCTGAGGAAGAATCTGCAGCCGTAATGGCTGCTGAAAACGAACTTAAAAATGATTGGAGCTTTCGTCGCTGTATCGAGTGACGTCATTAAGTGGTCGTCGTGTATCCCACGTGACTTATCGCCACCAAAAGAAGTTAACTGTTTTCTGTATCCTTACATCGGTATTTGACATTATTATATGTCCAAATCGATCACTCTTTAGAGTCAATTCACACGACCTCCCCCCACTTACAAAAGTAAAATCAGCGAATGATTTTATCAAAATTTCGAGTAGTTTGCGAAGCCCAAGGGAAACTAATTATGGCGACCCGAGGTGCTGCGGCGTACATTTGGGGCAGAGTGTTCATTTGCTGTTAAAGGCGGGCTAAAAAAAATAAATCAAACTATGAAGTAAAACTGAAATTTCATTGCTTTTCTGAATGAAGAAAACACTTCTTTTCACATCTTGAAATTGCTTAAATATCAAGACTGGTTTGACAGTGAATGTTGTACTGATTTCATAAAACAACTCGATCAGATAAACATTGAATCGAGTTTTGTTTTATATTTACATTATTCGGACTATTGTCCTCATCTTTGTTGCCATATTTATCACAACGACGAGGACAATAGTCCGAATAATGTAAATAGTGTACATAATACCTCATCTCAGAAATATAGACAGAGCTTTGTTTTGTTGTTTGAATATTGAATTAAGCAAGAAACTCACCATCTGCTTCTGATATGAAGTCATCTGGATCGCAAAGCCAAGACTGGTGGTCGGGAGAGCGGCCACACCTTTCAGGTTCAGTGCGAGGATTAGGATAATCGTGCGAATACCAATAGGAAGATTTTTCAGGCTTCGGCTCAGCCGTGGAAGTTCCATGACACAGAAAGAATATCAGCAATGACTGGAATATTCCCCAATTCAGCAGAAACCATGGTCTTGGTTGTAAACGTACACGAGGCATTCCTTATTCAAAGAACTCACAGTGAAAAGGTTTTCAAATCTTTCCGAATATTAACCAAGAAGTTTTCCCTGAAAATTTTAAACAAATGAAATTAAACAATTTTCATGTCTCTTTACCTTTTACACATCTTATAAAAATAATTAAAAAAGTTAATGCATTCGGCATAAACCCCGAAATATAAAAAAAATGTTGTTATCGAATAATGTTCTCTCCAAGACTATTTACTTCGATGCTAAAAGAGGTTGACAAGTTCTTTAAGGTTGATACTTTAATCACAGGTATGTAAATATGAGACGGTACTGAAAATTTGAAGTTTACTAAAGCTGCTTTCAAAGTGAAAAAAAAATGACAGTCCAAAGAAAATAAATTGAGAAAAAAGGTTTCAATTTGTTGCTAAGTTAAACAAATTATGAAGAGAAAAATGAAAGGCTCAAATTAGTTTCCCCATAAGTTCAGTGACTATGACAAGGTTAATGAAACAAAACCAATGTTTGGCCTACAATAGAAAAGGGCAATAAATTATCACAATTATGTTTATACAATGACAGCAAAATAATTTCTTCATGAATATAGATAATTTTTTTCTCTCTAAAACACAGACAAACACGTGTGCGTGCGCAGAGGTTACATGGATTTTCTTTGGTGAAATCATAGCATTAATAAAAAAAATTGCGTTTTTTTTTTTGGAGGGGGAGGTTCTTGTTTTTGTTCTCAGTTTGGTAAATTTGCAGATTAAGCCCCGGAAACCAATTGTAATGAAAATTTCCATTCTGATGTAAATTTGCATGCTTATTTCGAAAACAACAATAAAAGTTTGCGGAAGAAAACCGTTTAGGAGTTATCGACAATATAAGTTCAGCCTCATTCGCGTCGCGGATTACAGCCATGGCGCCATTATTGGCTTTGTTTACATACGTTTGTCTCAACTAGTAATACATGGAAGCTTCACCTGTCTTGATTACTGCGCAATGCACGAACTTTAAATTTCATGAATTGCGCAGTAATCAAGACGAGCAAGAAGATAAGATCAGTAAAAAGGCCGTTAACTAAGTAAGCTTCCGCGCATTACTACACGAGGAAAACATATGTAAAGTAAACAACTCCAGTAATGGTAGCCGGCTAGACGCGAATAAGGCCAAACTTATATTGTCGATAAGTCCTAAACTCTTTTCTTCCGCAAACTTTTGTTATTCTGGAATTAATCAGGCAATTTCACATCAGAATGGAAATTTTCATTACAATTGGTTTAGAGTCTTTTAATCTGCAAATTTACCCTCAGTTTTCCTTCTGAATAAAAACCGGACTTAACATCAGATTAGACTGTACCACGATAACAACAAAGTAGAAATCACTGAGCAATTATATAGTACATTTGGATTTAGAGCACTTAGGTGTTGCCTTAAGGGTGTTTCGGGTGATTTATTTGCCTTTTATGCCTGTGATTGTCATCTAACCGGCATTATGTATTATTGTTGAAATTAATTCTACACACTGACTATGGCTTGACAAGCTACCCACTACTATATAGTCCAGAAATGCCCATAACAGACGACACCTCATTCGACAAATTAGCGGACAAAATCTTTTTATGTCAAATGACCTAAGTGTAAATAAATCCAAGCGTGTATATAATTATAATTATTTAAAAATCAAACAAATAAATAAAAAAAGTAATTATAATTTAGACTCTCCTTTTGCATAGAGCACTGATTTTTTTTTTTAAAATAAAAACAGAAGTACTAAAGAACTTCGGATTATTTACCTAACATGTTCTTTCCTATTTTATTATATATATATATATATATATATAATATATATATATATATATATATATATATATATATATATATATATATATATATAATATATATATATATATATATATATATATATATATATATATATATATATATATATATATATATATATATATATATATATATATATATATATATATATATATATATATATATATATAATATATATATATATATATATATATATATATATATATATATATATATATATATATATATATATATATATAATATATATATATATATATATATATATAATATATATATATATATATATATATATATATATATATATATATATATATATATATATATATATATATATATATATATATATATATATATATATATATATATATATATATATATATATATATAATATATATATATATATATATATATATATATATATATATATATATATATATATATATATATATATATATATATATATAATATATATATATATATATATATATATATATTATATATATATATATAATGTACTAACACCCAGATCTGAAAACGATATCAGTTGCCGTTATAAACATCTGGAGAAATGAAGGAGACACGCAACAATATCCACCATGGTGAGTTTTTACTCGATGCGTTAACTACCCAGAATTATTTTATATTTTGTATTCGCCCTAGTTGGTAATTGAAGCCGGTGCCACAGTAAGCAATATTGGCTACCTGAGGATTATGTATCCATGTACACACGAAACTACACAAGTAGTGCGTGTATTGGGAGATCAAGATTTCGTTTTAAAACTAATGTTATTGCAATCTAGAAACGTTTTTGAAAAATAGGTAATGGTGTTAGCCGCAAGTACTCAGATGTCAGAAATTTCATCTTCCAGTGCCAGCCGGAAACCAGAAAAATAACTTTTAGAAGAATAAATGAAAAATAATTGAAACAGAATTTTCGTTGGTTTGTAATGAATATTGATTTTTTTTATCCCACCCGATGCTCAGAGAATGGCAAGTTCAATCAAATATTACTAAGTGTTTATCCTTTATTTTTTGATCTATGCTGTCTACTCACTGACGTAGATTGACGGCCTAAGTAGAGTTTTGATAAAGAAAAGCAAATAAAAATCTGGATGAAAGTAAATACCAATCAAAAATTTAATAACAATGATTGGCAATGGTTCCTCTAATAAAAAATAAAAACAATTAAAACAACACTATTATAACCGTATTGATTTTATCGTTTTCTATCGATATTCATCGGTAGAAAATCTGGCAAGACAGAAGCAAATCAAAACAAAACATGAAATAACTAATTTCATAATTTTATACAATGAGGAAGGCTGAAAAACACATTGATTTTATTTGTAAAACCAACAAGAAGTATATTCTTCTAAACAATTAGTGAAATGATGATAGCTCGTCTTGGGAGTTCAAACGAAATCTGTTGTTGTAAAGTGTAAAGTATTTTAATAACCCAACTATTTACATCATTCGGAGAGTTGTCCTCATATTTCTTAACATATTCACAACGTTTCGACCTTCTTCACGTTACATACTGTTATAAAATAAAATAAGACATATCTCGGCTGATTTGCAGGCAAATAAACTAACATACTCAAGAGCGAGAGCTGGATGAGAACGGGACATGGTCCCGTCACAAAATGACCATATTTACGCGTTTACGCATATTCCCGACGCACGAGTTCCGGTCGAAAAATAAAATAATATTTTAAAGTGTTTCTATTTTTCGACCAATAAAAATGCTTCCCTCCTAATTATACTCGCGTCGTTTTACGAGCCTGTCAAGCCATAAAAAAACGTCATAAAAGGGGTCACACGGAGGTACAACGAGCAGTCAACAGGAGGCCAGGGAAGAGACCTGTCACGGTCAGGCTGAGCGGTCAGCAGCAGTCAGCAGGGGGGGGCGCCAACGTCAACCAGTGTGAACTATTATGAGAGATCAACCCAGATTCGAAACCGGCTTATGAACTTTACCACAAGGTAGCTGTCCCAAACCCACACGTTCCTGTTGAAATAAATCACGTAAATCTATTTCTGCTGTTGTATTTCTTTCTTGCAACCATACGCTTGTCTATAACAATACGTTGGAATTTCGAACCATGTGGGTAGATTATTTTAATTCCACGTGCCATTCCTTTTATTATTTTTTTTTATTTTTGGATATCTCAGTTTCAGTTAATTCCCTTTAGTAACTCAAGTCTCCAATTTTTTGTTCCATCTGCTATGGCCAGGTATTGAACTCACAACTCTTTTGATCAAGTCACTTTTTAGATGACTTCAATCAACGCTTTTATTTGCTGGGTCATGAAGAAGGTTGGAGCATACATACATCAGTGAATTAAAGTTTTATTTATTTATTTATTTATTTAAATGATCTAAAAATAGTATACACTATTTACATCGTTCAGGCTTTTATCTTTATTGCCATATTCATGACGTTTCGGCCGTTGTACGATCCGACCTTCTTCAGGTCGGATAGATTGGAATTTCGAATCGAACCCTTTATTTAGTACACGGGTGTAGATTGTTCTAATTCCACGCACCAAGCCTTTGGATATCTCAGTCTCAGTCAATTCCCATTAGTAACTCAACAAGTTTTTGTTCCCTCTACTATGGCCAGGTATTGAACTCACAACTTTTTGGGTTAAGTCACTTTTTGGATTACTCCAACCAACGCTTTTATCCACTGGGATAAATGTGATAATTCAATATTAGCGGTTATATCATAATTAAAGGGCGTTGTTACTTATGTCAATATTACCGAAGTTAAGCAACGTTGTGCCTAGCCAGTACCTAGCGACTGCATGGGAATATAAGAGGTCTCGTAAGCTTGAATGTGCGGACGTTGTGGTAGATAACGACTCAGAATGAGAAATTAGAGAGCAGAGTTCGTTACAGATCGTCTCACTAGAACAATTTCGGCTGAGTAGTGAGATTGATCCTCACTAGGTGCCCCCATACTTTCGGCCTTTTGCCGCATCTAATCTATGCTTAAAATAAAAGTAATCACCGTTCACAGACGCGCAAATATCCTTGGAAAAGAAATGAATCCGCCATGTGTTAAATAACAAGACAGATTGGATCTTAGAGCCTTGATAGGTAACCATTAACCAGTCTACCACCGGAAGTAAAGGCAGCCTACTGCGGGAATTCTGCCAAGTTAATTATAAATCGCAGAGAGAGATGATC